GGCGTGCCAGAAGTTAGCCGCAACATTGTCCGCTTGCAATCATCGCACTGTATGACCGGCATCGGCGAGCCGCTGCGCGAGCGCCGAGCCAGGCGGACGGCCGGCCGAATCCTTGCCGGCAAACCGACGACAGCGGCTACAAGACGAACCAGTACCTGCACGCGGCGCTGGGGCTTTGCCGGGGCTACGCGGGGTGCTCCCCGACCAATCCATGGCTTGGCCCGGCCTCCGGTGGCCGGAAACGCCAAATCCGGCTGCCACGTCGAACAGTCGCTGATCTGCAACTTTCCGGCCCGCCGACGCAGGAGGAAGTGGCGGAGGGCAAGCTCGGCCGTGTGGCGGCCCTCCGGCGTGATCCCGCCGGCTAGTTTGGCCGGAATCGTAGGTGGCGGGAGGTGGGGAAAAGCGCGGGCTGAAATGCCCCCCCCCTCCCCCCGGCAGCCAGCCGCTACCGCTATATATAGGGTGCCGATGGGGCGAACCCGCGTTTTCGCGGGTTGGGAGGGGAATTATGTCGCGCCCTGCAAAAAAACAATTTACGGATCGGACGCATTTGCGCGTAGGTTTTTGCGCGCGGATCCGTATTTTAACGATTATTCTGTGGGTTGCGGCATTATACGAAGTCTGCTAGAAATGCTCTTAGGAGGGTGATTTTACATAGTCCAACAAGGATCATCCCTATGTTTGACACATATGTGTCTTATAAAGGCAGAATATTTTTTTAGTGGAGGTGATAGCAAGGTGCATGTGATATTTCGTCAATCTGAAAATCCGGTCGGTCCGTTGAAGATGCTTATGGGATATGGTGTGCGCATGTGCTCATAGGTACTTCTAATTTTTTTTTAAGGATTGGTCCTTAGCGCATGTCTCGGTGTTCAGCGTTATTTAAGCCAGGCCAATCAAATAACGTGGTTAATTGCTGGGCTGGATTCGATCTCGTAGAGTTCTTTAACCATGGCCTGCCAATGGTTTCAAACAGTAACTTTCCACATTCCCATGTTCAAATGACGATCAAAGAAAGAAGAGAAATTATGCTGCTTCAGCCTACACAGCGCTTCTGCCTCAGGCACCGCTTTCGCTTCCAGCAGGCAAGGAATTTTCCACGAACGCCTGAGCCTGCCCGTGGTTGGCCCCGACGAGAGACGACGCGCTGCTGTTGCCAACGCTCTCCAACCTCCGATTCGTTGCTGATATGCCGCCTTTTAGTCCACTTCCAGCTTTATATTCCCCGAATCGTCCAAGTTTGATTTGTTCCGCAGGACCAGTCCCGGAACGCGAGGGTTCGCATCTCTGCATATTCCACAAACTTCGGTGCCAAGCAAGGCAAGGGTGCCCCCACTGCCCCGGCCTCCACCCCAAGCATCCGATCCGATGCCTCTGACACTTATAGCAAACTGTACCTCGCTCCACGCGTGATCTCAACATCTTGCTACTCCCTCCATTCCACAATGTAATGCTTTCTTTATCTACGTGCTTCAACTTTGACCGTAAATTTAACTATCAAGATCGATTGCGGCGGGGCAAAAGTTATATTGAATTCGTATTCGAAAGAAATTTTTAATTATGTAACTTTTTCTCCCGCCGCAGTCGGTCTCGTTTATTAAATTTATGGTCAAAGTTCGACATCGGGAAACATGGGCGCACTATATTTTGAAATGGAGGGAGTATTTCTCACCATCTCTTTCCCCATGTTCATTTGTTTTCACAACAAAGTGACCCTGAAACCCACACCAGACGCCTCACCAAACCTGTCCTGCGCCCTTGCAAACTTGACGCCGTCTCGCCGCACAGCCCCTCTCGTTTATCGCAAGACTACAAGAGGCAGGACTTGCAGTTTGGTGCAACGAATGCAGGCCAGGACGGCCGTGCACTACTCATACTGACCCTGGCATCGATAATTATTCCCTTTTTCGCGGGGGGGTAGCTACCTGCACGCATTTAGGTGACCTACCGGGCTGTGAAAAAGATTCTGGTTCGTTGCTTAACCAAATCAGTTGAGCATCAATGTCTGCTGCCCACGCGAATCATTGCAGGACATTCCAAACCTCTCGCCCTCGGATAGCCCTGCCGGCTCTCCTCTTTTGTTCCCCTGTTCTTTATAATACAGTAATATATTGTTACAAGAAGCAGCAGCTGGGAGCTGTTAGCGGCACACTCCTTTGCATCAACATGTAACGTAAGTTTACAGGTGCGAACAAAACACGACATACATACTGTCGACGAACGAAACTCACAAAAAAAAAACTTATTATTAGTAGTACAATATATGGTATGGTACAGAGAAAGAACCAAGTCACTGTCAAGCCCGGCTTCTCTAATCTGCTGACACGTCACACAACAATCATGACACTTAACGCCGACCGCCACATAGGAAAACAGACGGCAGCTGCCTTCGGTGGCCACGGCGGCCCACCCAATGCCCTGCGGCGGTGGTTCGTCCGATCACTAGGCGTCCATCTCATCTGAGTTCGTTATGCTAATCTCCCAGCCTAGTCCCCGACGGTTTGGCGCCTTCTGCAGCCTCTGCTTCCCTACCCTCTGCAACAGACCATCTCCCCCTAACCACCCTAACCAAACACGGACGCCCTGTCAGCAGCTGCCACGATCGCCACTCGCCAGCCGCCCACCCTTCCCGTCGTCTCCCGAGTTGTGGATACCGCGGCGTGTCGTGAGCCCGAAAGAGCCCTGCCGGACCACCCGATCGGTCGCCGCGCCGATCCACCGAAACTCCCCGCCACGGGCCGGGACGGCCATATCCGGTGGCCGACACTGCGCGCTGCCGCGGCACCAACCTGCCGCCGACGATAGTGGCAAGAACCTTCGTGCACGAGGCACAAAGCAAAGCAGCGGCGATCGACGGTCCGACGGAGACCGCACGCACGCACGAGGCTGCGAAAGGGGCCGGTCGTACCACCACGTCCGTTGGGCAGTGCCCATCGGCACGACCGAACGAAATGAAAACCAAGTCGTGTTAGTTTTTGCCTCGGGACGCATAGCATAGTATACGGGCATGGAGCATGTGGGGGTGGAATTGAATATGGGTCGGGTAGGGTGGTTGATGGCCAGTGGCGAGCGGCCAGTAGGTGGTGGAGTTCATCTCACTCGCAACATGGAGCAAAAGGGAGGGAGAAGGCCAAAAGACGAGAGAATATATATTTTTTTCGGGTAAAAAAGACGAGGGAATATGAATACCCACGCACACGCAATCATGAGCTCGCGCCACTACCACCTGCCTCGCCCTCCAGCTGCTCGACGGCGGCCTCCAGCCTGGGCGATGTGTCGTGTATGTGTAAAGCGTTGCCAGGCAACGTGGCCGCGGCTACCGAGGGCCGTCCGATCGCGGGATCGGGCGGCCGATGTTCGGTGCCCTGTGGTTAAGGTAACACAGCTCGGAGACTTCAGAAGGGGAGGGAGGGTGTCCAGCTGCTTACAAAACCATCGTCAGAACATGGTGCTGATCATGGGCAATAACTGTTGTGCTGCCACATTTCGGTCTCATCAATCATTTCTCCACAAAAGAAAGCATACCAATAATCGAGATGCTGCTGTTGCTGCTGCAATTTCAGATGTTGACACCAGACAGACAGCCTTTGGCAAATCGACGACTGTTCCAGGTTTCAAATAATTCAACCTCCCTCGCAAAAGAAGTGGAAAAGATGATTCGGTTGAGCTTAATTTTCCTATATTCCTGCCGTTCTCTCACAAGAATCTTAACAGTAATTTAAAGGGCGGCTACATGTATTGCTGGCAATTTTAGTGGAGTTCTAGTTGGGATTAGTTAGCGTATTAGCAGTATTAATCCCCTGAATTATGAGTCTGTTGGGAGGTCCCTGTCCTGTGTAGCTCGCGCTAATCGCTTTCCGATATAAAAGTTGATCTTAACCAACAACAATAATATTGCCCCTTTTGCTTTCTTTCAAGCTGTGCAGGTGTGCCACACATCTGTAAAGATTGGTATTCTGATGCTGCTTCCGCTTCTCTCTACAAGTCAAGGAGCTACAGCACAAGCCATCGCCAATTCTGAGCAAAAACACCCAAAAGACAGCAACATCTCTTGTAAACCCTCGTCGACGAAACAGATAAGCAATTACTAGAACAGACATACATGACAGACAAATACTGAAACTAAATAATCAACAATGCAGTAGGCAATTCTGGAAGAACAAGTAGGCAGAACAGAAACATCAGCAGATTAGGCCTTCTTAGATGAACAGACAGGCAATTCTGGATGAACAAGCAGGCAAAGTTGAAACAGGCGTAGATAAGGCCATACTGGATGAACAAAGTAGGCAATTCTGGATGAACAAGGAGAAAAACAGCAATAAATTTGGACCTAGCGTATGGAGATAGTAGGTCAAATAGAAACAGCAATATATGAGGCCATTCTGGTTGAACCGATCAAAGCAAGCTAGCCACAGCAAAAATTGACCATTATCGAAAGATGGAAATAACACAGCAATATATGAGGCCATTCTGGTTGAACTGATCAAAGCAAACTAGCCACAGCAAAAATGGACCATTATCGAAATATGGAAATAACAAGAGATTAAGCCATTCTCGATGGAATTTCTGCATCAAGCGAGTGACAGATACAAGAGAGTTTAGCACTTCAGCAAGAATAAGATCCACCCTGTTTTATTGAAACCAATTCAATCAATATTTATACTGGTTTACTGAACAAACATGTAAATGTAAATGAAACAATCCTGAACTAACAGACAAAAAAAGTGAAACCTTTCTTCTATCCAAGAATTGTACACCACCAATAAAGTAATTCCAACACCCCCTCCCTAGTCACCACCTCCGGATCACAGCATAATGAATCAATCCGAATTGTATCGTGAATGAACAAGAATTTGCTTCCCCTATGCACTGTTCTTCCTCTTCCCGTCGCAGCCGCCGCAATGTACCGCCCCTCCTCTCGCTGTACAGCCGAAGGCGGCAGCCGGCTTGCGACGGCAGCTGTGATGGCAGTGGGTATGCATCGCAAGGCAATTGCATTACCACAACCAAATGAAAAAATTATAGCGTGTGTCCCATATCTGTCTACCAAGAAAACACCGCCGCCGGCAACGCCGATGATGACAATGAGGCCCAGGACGGCGCCGATGCTTGCGATGCATCACCGTCGCCAATGTAGAGGTCGTATGATTTCCATGTATGGTCGAGCGGGCAAGGCCTGCCGGCGTCGAGGCGATCCCATGGCTTGCCCTTGCCTGACCAGTGCATCAGGCTGACAGGGCCCTTGTGGAGCGGGCGGCAGCTACCAAGAATGTTGTCGCCGCCCAAGCCGTGCTGGTTCCACCGATGGTCGACAGCCTCCACCTCGCCGGCGAAGAGGAGCAAGAAAGGGGGCAAGGAGCCCAGCTCGTAGATTCGCTTCTCCTTCTGCAACTCCATCCACTGCTCGACGCGGTGGCGGTAGTTCCCCGAGCGCCAGCGCCGGAGGTCGATGACCATGACGCCGGTGTTGAAGTAGCAGGGCGCGCGGCGGCGGCCCGCGAAGACGCGCGCGCCGAGGTCCGGGTCGGACCAGAAGGCGTCGGTGAAGTAGCGGGAGAAGTTGGCGTGGCAGTACTCGGGCGCGGCGACGACGGCGGCGGCGGGCAGGCGCGTCTCCCAGAGCCTGCGCACGTCGTCGACGGCGAGCACGTCCGAGTCGAGGTATATGGCCCGGGGCACGCACTTGGGGAGCAGGTCGGCGAGGTAGTTCCTGGCGTAGTTGAGCGGCGCCTCGAGCGCGGCGCGCACCGAGGCGGAGATGAGGCCCGTGACGGCGTCGGCGCGGAACGGGTAGATCTCGAACCGCAGCGACGGGAAGGAGGCGGCGAGCGCGCTCCGGAGCTCGCCGACCCCGGGCGCGGCGGCGTCAGCGGCGAGGAAGTGGAAGAAGAGCGACTCCGGGCAGGAGGCGTGCTTGAGCAGCGAGTAGATGGCGGCCATGGAGCCCCGGAGGTAGTGCGCGTCGAGCGTCATCGCGATGTGGACGAGCCCCGGGTCGCACACCCCCGCGCCGGCCACCGCCGCCGGGCAGCCCTCCCCGTTCCGGTACTCGGGGGCCTCCGCGAACCGCGGCAGCGCCCCCTCCGCCCTCGCCCCCGCCCCCGATGCGGCCAACAACAAGAACGCCACCAAGACCAGCCCGGCCCGCATCGCCGGCGCGGCCGCGGCCATCGCCCCCGCCGACGGCGGCTAGGGCTAGGGCTCCCCCTCTTTCTCTCTCGCCCGGTGGGAACGAGGGGGGCCTGGGTCGGGCTCGCTCTTCCTCTCTCTCTCTCTCTCTCTCTCTGGTTGGGTTGGGCAGGGGAGGGGAACGAAGTGGTCGGCGTCTGTTCCAACCAATCCCTCCTTGGCTCCTCCCTCCCGTCGCTCGTTGGTATGGAATGGATCCCCCCAAACTCCGATGGTTTGTTTTCCTGGGGGCGATTTATATGTGCCGCTACCAATAAAGCCCCCGTGTTTATATTACCCGGGTGGGGCCCGGCCTCGGGATGACGCGCTAATCCGCTCCGCGATCGTCATCGCTTGATTAAGCCGTGTTTAGTAGGAAATTCTCAAAAAAAGGAAAGCAAATCGGGGTCGGATCGTGCCGCATACGAATACGGTACGTATACTATACCGTACTGTACGAGAACACAATGCATGTGGCCGCGCCAAGTGGACGCACGTTTTGGATCTGTGCCGATGAGGAAAAGTTTTACTTACTGCTTGTGCAAGGGATCGGCAACTAAAGCTGCACGACGGAATGGAATAGTCAATCAACCAAAGTTACCCACCCGTGATCCGCTGGAAGCAGCTAAGATGAGATACTACCAATTATGCTATAATCAAATACCCAAATGGAATATAAGTAATGCATGTTGGGGCATTGTACATTGGTCGATGTGACGACGCTTTTCACGTTACTCTTTTTTATTATTATTAGAGAAGACAATTTCTCAACATATCCTATCTCTTCTTAGCATAGTATCATCTCTTGCAACCAATGCTGCCATCGTTTGTGATGATTAAAATTAAATAAATTAATGAAGGACGCCACACAAATAAGAACGACATCTCAAGCAAATTTTTTTTTAGAACATGTCATCATGGCTTATTTTATTGATTTGGTAAAATAGTTGCATCGTTTGCCAAGGCATCAACCAGAAACCTGGGGGTTCATCGACCCAATTACAAACCTCATTATAATCAAAAGAAAATTTAGCAATCTTATAAGCAATCTCATTTGCGTCCCTATTACTCTGTTCCTTTGTATAAGATGTATTTTTTTTATAAAATTCGACAATGTAAGGTGCATTTTTCTAATTCTCTGTAATTCCGTTCTTGGCCCTCTAGAAAATGGAAAGAGTCTCTCCTCTCATTATATGTATCTCTCCTTGTAGAGAAAGAAAAGGAAATTATATCTCTCCCAATTGTATGCATCTCTCATTTTCCTAGCCTAAATGATTTACTTGCCGATAATCAATAAATTAGACAAGGGTAATTTCATCATAAATATTCTATAATTACGTGCCAAAAATAATACACCTTACATAAAGGAATTGAGGGAGTACAATGCAAGAAATGAACAGATCCTATCATACCCGACAAAAAGCGAAGCATTCCGTTCCAAATTAGGTCTTGTCTTGAGAAAGCATTAGTCACCTCCATTGAATCAGATTCTATTTGGATGGAATGAAATCCCATATCATTAGCTAACATCAACCCATTTCTCATAGTTAGACACTTAGCCATATGTGCATCAACTACATGGGGGTATTGGAGAGCAGGAGGCCACCAAGAAGACCCCATATTCGTCTCAAATGATCGCACCCGTGGATCCTCTCAACTCATCATCCAAAAATGATGCATCCACATGTAGTTTAGTTGTACCCGGAATTGGCTTCGACTACTTCCTGTCCCTACAAATAACTGACCCATTCTTCAGCGCAAGGGATCTTTGACATTTTAGGCAAATGGCCCGGATGGCCATTGCACTTTGTGGGACTGAGCAAGTTTTGTTGTGATGCATTTGCTGCCTCCTCATCCACCACAAATACCAGCATGTTGTACAGATTCCTTCCTTTAACCCAACTGATATCATGTTTGGCATACTGGACTCAGGAAGACAAAACAGATGCTCAAGTACATTGACCCAGACTTGTCTTCAGTGGTGGCTTCAGAGATTATTTACGACAGTCCCAACAACCTCCATAGTTCCTTAGCGCGAGCACAACCGAACAACAAAAGTGCATAACTGTTGGGGATCGTAGCGAAAATTTAAAATTTTCTACGCATCACCAAGATCAATCTATGGAGTAATCTAGCAACGAGGGGAAGGGGAGTGCATCTACATACCCTTGTAGATCGCTAAGCGGAAGCGTTGCAAGAACGCGGATGAGGTAGTCGTACTCGTGGCGATTCAGATCGTGGTCGGTTCCGATCTAAGCGCCGAACAACGGCGCCTCCGCGTTCAACACACGTGCAGCCCGATGACGTCTCCCATGCCTTGATCCAGCAAGGAGAGGGGGAGAGGTTGGGGAAGACTCCGTCCAGCAGCAGCACGACGGCGTGGTGGTGGTGGAGGAGCGCGGGACTCTAGCAGGGCTTCGCCAAGCACTACGAGAGACGAGGATGGAAAGAGGTAGGGCTGCGCCAAGAGGGAAATGATCTCCTATGTCCGGCAGCCCCCAAAACCCCCAATATATATAGGGGAAGGGGAGGGGCTATGCCCCCATCTAGGGTTCCATCCCTAGGGGTGGAGGCAGCCCCCAAAACCCATCTAGGGTGGGAGGGAAGAGAGGGGGTGCCCTAGGGTGGGCCTTAAGGCCCATCTGGACCTAGGATTTGCCCCCTTCCCACTCTCCACGCGCCTTGGGCCTTGGTGGGGGGGCGCACCAGCCTACCTGGGGATGGTCCCCTCCCACACTTGGCCCACGCAGCCTTCTAGGGCTGGTGGCCCCACCTGGTGGACCCCCGGGACCCTCCCGGTGGTCCCGGTACGTTACCGATAGCACCCGAAACTTTTCCGGTGACCAAAACGGGACTTTCTATATATAAATCTTTACCTCCGGACCATTTCGGAACTCCTCATGATGTCCGGGATCTCATCCGGGACTCCGAACAACATTCTGTAAACGCGTACATACTTTCCCTATAACCCTAGCGTCATCGAACCTTAAGTGTGTAGACCCTACGGACTCGGGAGTCATGCAGACATGGCCGAGACAACTCTCCGGTTAATAACCAACAGCGGGATCTGGATACCGATGTTGGCTCCCACATGCTCCACGATGATCTCATCGGATGAACCACGATGTTAAGGATTCAATCAATCCCGTATACAATTCCCTTTGTCTATCGGTACGATACTTGCCCGAGATTCGATCGTCGGTATCCCGATACCTCGTTCAATCTCGTTACCGGCAAGTCTCTTTACTCGTTCCGTAACACATCATCCCGTGATCAACTCATTGGTCACATTGTGCACATTATGATGATGTCCTACCGAGTGGGCCCAGAGATACCTCTCCGTTACACGGAGTGACAAATCCCAGTCTCGATTCGTGCCAACCCAACAGACACTTTCGGAGATACTCGCAATGCACCTTTATAGCCACCCAGTTACGTTGTGACGTTTGGTACACCCAAAGCATTCCTACGGTATCTGGGAGTTGCACAATCTCATGGTCTAAGGAAATGATACTTGACATTAGAAAAGCTTTAGCATACGAACTACACGATCTTGTGCTAGGCTTAGGATTGGGTCTTGTACATCACATCATTCTCCTAATGATGTGATCCCGTCATCAACGACATCCAATTTCCATGGTCAGGAAACCGTAACCATCTATTGATCAATGAGCTAGTCAACTAGAGGCTTACTAGGGACATGGTGTTGTCTATGTATCCACACATGTATCTGAGTTTCCTATCAATACAATTCTAGCATGGATAATAAACGAATATCATGAACAAGTAAATATAATAACAACTAATTTATTATTGCCTCTAGGGCATATTTCCAACAGTCTCCCACTTGCACTAGAGTCAATAATCAAGTTCACATCGCTATGTGATTAACACTCAAGGTCACATCCTCATGTGACTAACACCCAAAGAGTTTACTAGAGTCAATAATCTAGTTCACATTACCATGTGATTAACACTCAATGAGTCCTGGGTTTGATCATGTTATGCTTGTGAGAGATGTTATAGTCAACGGGTCTGAACCTTTCAGATCCGTGTGTGTGCTTTACAAATCTCTATGTCATCTTGTAGATGAAGCTACCACGCTCTATTTGGAGCTATTCCAAATAACTGTTCTACTATACGAATCTTGTTTACTACTCAGAATCATCCAGATTAGTGTCAAAGATTGCATCGATGTAACCCTTTACGACGAACTCTTTTACCACCTCCATAATCGAGAAAATTCCTTAGTCCACTAGTTACTAAGGATAACCTTGACCGTTGTCCCGTGATCCATTCCTAGATCACACTTGTACCCCTTGACTGACTCATGGCTTGGCACACTTCAGGTGCGGTACACAACATTGCATACTTTAGAGCCTACGTCTAAAGCATAGGGGACGACCTTCGTCCTTTCTCTCTATTCTGCCGTGGTCAGGTCTTGAGTTTTACTCAATACTCATACCTTATAACACAGCCAAGAACTCCTTCTTTGCCGATCTAGTTTTTGAACTCCTTCAAAATTTTGTCATGGTATGTGTTCGTTTGAAAGTACTATTAAGCGATTTTGATCTATCCTTATATATCTTGATGCTTAATGTTCAAGTAGCTTAATCCAGGTTTTCCATTGAAAAACACTTTTCAAATAACCATATATGCTTTCCAAAAACTCTACATCATTTCTGATCAACAATAGTCAACAACATATACTCATCAGAAATTCTACAGTGCTCCCACTCACTTCTTTGGAAATACAAGTTTCTCATAAACTTTGTATATACCCAAAATCTTTGATCATCTCATCAAAGCGTACATTCCAACTCCGAGATGCTTACTCCAGTCCTTAGAAGGGTTGCTGGAGCTTTGCATACTTGTTAGCATCTTTCAGGATTGTCAAAAACTTCTGGTTTTATCACATACAACCTTTCCTCAAGAAAATCATCGAGGAAATGATGTTTTGACATCCTATCTACAAGATTTCATAAATAATGCAGTAATTGCTA